GAGTCATTGCTCAAAAGGACAGCTTCCCCTAGAATTTAAAATATAAATCAGACAAATTCCTGGATGTCTCAAATGGCTTAGATAATAGTTCCTCAATGTGGCAGAGGTGGGTTGAAATATAATACGTCTTCCCATGGCTATCATGCCCTGAAATGCTAGAAATACTTGCATGTCAAAGTCTTATCACAGGAAGGCTGAGGGCTGGAATCTAGGATTACATTTGTTATTTCTGGCTCTTGCTACAAAAAAGTGGGTATGAAGATGCATTTCCTCCCCCAAGTCTGCTGGCTCCTGTTTGCAACTGATGCAGGCAGAGCAGGGTAGCATCTGTGTTTCAGCAAAGTGATGTGTGAAAACAGTTTTCAAAAATGCACACTGTCTAGATAAAAAGAAAACTAAAAATATGTGTGGTTACCACTTTACAGAGCCTATTGAATTTGGCTGTGAATGGGAATCTAATTGCCATCCATTTCTAGTGGAGCTTTCCACGAACATTACATTTCCATTAAAAAGAGGTATCAGCTATGGTATCATAATAATCATGCAGAAATTATAGAAATAAATAATGTTCATTGTTTAATAATTTATATATTTTTCTTGATAGACCATGAGAGGAAGTAAGCCAAGCCACAGGTACAGAAATGTCATTTGTTGCTGATAAAGAGAAGGAATGTTTTTACATAAGTGTTAACAAAAAACTCCCTGGTATTGAATGATGACTATGGATTGTTTTCCTGTTCTTCATTTACAACCAGAGAAATTCTTCTTCATCATTTGTTTTTGCTATGTTGGAGTTAGTATAAACATCTTATCACTTGGAAGGCTAAATTTGAGGGCTAAATGGACCCACACAACTCAGAGAGGTCAGATTCAAGCTATGCTTGATGTAGAAAAATTGTACTCAATGCTCCATGCAATGGCAGGAACAAATAAGATATTATGTTTGTAAATTCTGTAACTTGAAGTCACAGTCAGTATACTTCCTACCTTTCCTTTTGATTTCGATTCTGTGATTTTAATTTTAATTTTTCAACATTTATCTGATGTGTTGGTTAGTCTATTTTATTTTCTTTTTTTAAAGATTTACTTATTTATTTGAAAGGCAGAATTACAGAGAGGCAGAAGCAGAGAGAGAGAGGTCCTCCATCCACAGGTGCACTCCCCATATGGCTGCAATGGCTAGAGATAAGCTGATCCAAAGCCAGGAGCCAGGAGCTTCTTCCTGGTCTCCCATACAGGTACAGGGGCTCAAGGACTTGGGCCATCTTCTACTGCTTGCCCAGGTCATAGCAGAGAGCTGGATCAGAAGTGGAGCAGCCTGGACTCGAACAGGTGCCCATATGGGGTGCTGGCACTGCAGGTAGAGCTTCACCTGTTATGGCATAACACCAGCCTCAATACATTTTCTTTTTTTTTTTTTTAAATGATTTTGCCTTTCATTTGATGAGCCCATATCAAAGGAAATGGTCTATTTTAGCAGTTCTGATAAGAAAACTTATGGTTCATAAGGTAAAAGCACACAAAGATGCCAAATTAATATTTCTAAAGCACAGCTCAACCAATATCTCATTCCTGACCAAGTCTAACGCCTCTAACTTCCTAGCTAATTAAGTCCAGAGTTCTATCCTTGAACTTTACAGCTCCTCTTCCTGTTCTCTGCCCTTCTGATGATATTTAGTCTACTTTTTCTCCTGTAACATATGTACAACATGGTCAGGTTTAGTGGTCCTTAATCTTGACTACACTATCAAGATCACCTGGAAAGTGTTCCAAAAAATTTATGCCCAGGTGTAGGCATTTACTCTAGTGGTTAAAATGCTCTGGTCCCACACTGTAGTACCTGGGTTCTATTCCTGGTTCTGGCTCCTGACTCCAGCTTCCTGCTAATAGAGATCCTGGTAGGCTGTAGTGAAGGCTTAAGTAATTGGGTTAATTAATTGGGTTCCTACCACCAGCATGGGAGATCTAGGTTCCAGTTCCTTGCTCTGGCCCGGTTCAACCCTGGACATTGTAGGCTTTTGGGGGAATGCATCACGGTATGTGGGAGTGCTCTCCCCACCCCCACCCCCATACCTTTTAAAGCAAATTTTGTGGGCTGGTTCTGTGGTGTGGTGGGTGGTGCCATGGCCTGCAATGCCGGCATCCGATGTGGGTGCCAGTTCAAGACCCGGCTGTTCCACTTCCTATCTGGCTCTCTGATATGGCCTGGGAAAGCAGTGAGGGATGGCCCAAGTCCTTGGCGCCTGCACCCACATGGGAGACCTGAGCGGGGGCTCCTGGCTCCTGGCTTCAGATTGGCTCAGCTCTGCCCATTGAGGCCGACTGGGGAGTGAACCAGCAGTTGGAGGACCTCTCTCTCTGTGTCTCTCCTTCTCTCTGTGTAACTCTGACTTTCAAATAAATAAATAAATCTTTAAAAAATAGATAAAGTGTACATGAACCAATTTTCTAAAAAAAAAAAAAAAGAAAAAAATTTTGTCCTGGGGGACTGGCATTGAGGCATAGGGGGTAAACTGATGTCTGCAAAACTAGCATCCAACATGGCGTCCACTTACAATCCAGCTCCTTGCTACTGGCCTGGGAAAAGCAGCAAAAGATGGCCAAAGAGTTTGGGCCCCTGCCACACACATGGGAGACCCGAATGAAGCCCCTAGCTCCTGGCTTTGGCTTGACTCAGTCCCGGTCATTGCAGCTATCTGTCTGGGAGTTAACATATGGAATCTCTCTCTCTCTCCCCCTCTCTCACTCTCTCTCTCTTTTTCTCTCTCTCTCTAACTCTGAATTTCAAATAAATAAATACAAACTTTAAAAAAAAAATGCCCAGATACCACCATATGTTGACTGGATATGAGTCTGGGGATGAATTATAGGCATCAATGTTTTAAATACATTTTATGGGTTTTTAAAGGCTTCTTATTTTAGTTACCTATTGTTAAAAATCAAACCACCGAAGACTTATTTTTGTGAAACAGTGAAGCTTTTATTATGCCCTGTGGATCAAAAGGTCTGATAAGGCCCAGTACTGAAACTGTATCTTTGCTCCTGGATGTCTTGACTGGGACATCGCTAGCAACAGACAGTTCAAACAGCTAAGGACTAGAATCATCTGGAGACTTTGACATTTCCACCGTTTATGATGAGAGAATGCAAAGCTCTGCACAGCTGGATATACCAGCTAGGTTCCTACATATGCCTTTCCACGTAGCTTGGACTTGCAGAGTGTATGGTGGGTAAATGTAGTCAGACTTCCTGTATGGAAGCTCAGGAAATGGTGGAATTATAAGGCCTTTGCTGCCCAGCCTCAGAAAACACACAGTGTCACTTCTGCCTCCTTCTCACTGATGCAGTCGCGATCTTTCCATATTCAAGGGCAGTGAATCTACCTCTCAGAGGAAGAGTCAATAAATTTGTTGTCAGGATGAGCGTCTGGCATATGGTTAACACACCTTTTGGGACTTCCCCATCCCACTTTGGAGTACCTGAGTTCAAGCCCCGACAGCATTTTCCATTCAAGTTTCCTGCTGATGTGCACCCTGGGAGATAACAGGTGATGGCTCAAATAGTTAAATCCCTGCCACTCATGTGGCTTCTACCTGGCCCAGCCCTGGCTATTGAGGGTATTAGGGGGAATGAGCCAGCAGATGGTAGATCCAATTCTCTCTCTCTCAGTCTGCATTTGAAACGATAAATAACTAAATGTGTTACCACAAGCCCCAGGTGATTCCAACGAACTGCCAGACCTGAGAACAATTTCATTCCAGTCTTCCGAGAACTGACCTACAGAGCAGGGCTGGGACTTTGGTACAGCGAAAGCAAAGCCGCTGGTGTGAATTTAAGAAGGCTGTCAGTCTCAAGGTCTTGCCTGGTGGGCCTGACTGCATGCACTTCCTTGCATTTTGTGCCCAGTGCACCTCATTTGCCTCACCCTTGCCCTGGCCCTGCTACAGAGGTGCTGTGTGTGGACCCTTAGGCTGCAGGGGCTGCGATTCCCGGGCTACATACTTTGATGTTGAAACTCAGGAAGACTGGGATAGGACTTGATTTTTTTTGTTGTTGTTTTTGTTTACAGACTCCCTAGTGGGGACTGTCGCAGCTTCCATGTGCTTCTCTGATGCCATACCTTTGCTCAGGCTCTTTCACCTGCTGGGATGCCTTTTCCTTTTATTTTGATCAACCACAGAGTATCGACTTGTTTTTAAGATCCATTTCAGATACCATGTCTTTATCAAGACTTTCTTGGTCCCCATAACTGGATTTATAAAGTACTGCTCCTATGAGAAACACACAGCATGTTTCACATGCCTGAGGCACTAACGTTGTGTGTTGCATTGTGGTTGTCTTGGACCTTTTTTACAGAAAGAACATAGTCTACTTTCCTGGGAGGTCACACATGCAGGTTGGATCGCCCGCCCATTCTGTTTGGACCAGGCTGTCTTCTGTCTGCCTCACTGTGCTCCCCGAGGGCTCCACTTTGTAAACCAGGCGGTAACTGGTGCAAGCCTCACACATTCTAGATGCTCCTTGAAGAGGGATTTTTCTCCTGTTGAAAGGTGTGGTCAACTTACTATTTTGGCAGTCTTCACAGAAACTCTCAATCATTGAATGATTTACTCTAAAGTGTTTTTAAAAGCAGCAATGTCTTGATTTTTTTTTTTAAATTTTTCCTTTTATTTGGAAGGCAGAGACAGAGACATCGTCCCCAAATGGCGCAAGGGCTAGGTCTGATTTGGGTATTAGCTGACCAGCATTTCCCCTATGGAACTTTTCGATGCCTATTCTTTGCAGAGTCCACAGCCCTGCCTCTGTCGACAGCATTGCCACATGCATGCCTCAGAACCCTTTGGGCTAAGAACCATCACTGTGACCACTTCACTGATGAGGAAACCTGAGGCTTGAAGAATTTGTAACTTGCCACATCGCAAAACACCCAAGTAGCTAAGGCAGGCTTGGAGCTCAGATCTGGCAGATCCCCAAAGCCATAGCTTAATCCCCACGTTAAAGCTGCGGTTCCTCTCTTGGTGGCATCAGGAACCCACTCGTCTTTGGGGAGGGTGGGGCAGGAGTCCCACTAGGAGCTAAAGCGAAGCAGACCAAACCTCTGCAAACCACCGTGGACTCACGGTTTCCACCGCAGGGTAAGCCCACGGGACCGGGTCCTTCTTCACTTCGTGTCTCTGTGGGCATGATCCCTCCCTCCCTGCCCGCGGGGCCGTCGTGGGGCGCCCCGGTCCCGCGGGGTCATCCCCGGCCGTGGCTGGGGGCCGAGCTTGGCTACGCGTAGGGATGAGACGGCTCCCGGCGCCGTGATCTGCCGGCAGGGCGTGAGAGCGAGCGGTGCGGGAGCGCGGAGGCCGGCGAGAGGGAGGGGAGACGGAGCGCAGGGAGCGCCAGGCAGCGCACACCCACTCGCAGCTCGAGCCCTGGCGGCAGCGGCGGCGCCCGGAGGCAGCCTCTCGGCCGCGCCCTTGCCCGAGACAGCGCGTCCACCCGGCCCAGCTCCCGGCCGGCCACTGAGCATGGAGGATTCCCGGGAGACGTCGCCGTGCTCCAACAACTCCTCGGAGGAGCTGAGCTCTGCCCTGCGGCTGTCCAAGGGCATGTCCATCTTCCTCGACGTAAGTGCCGCGGGCAGGAGTGGCGCTGGGGCTGCCCCAGCACCTTTCCTCTTCCCTCGGGGGGGCTGAGCGGCCAGTGTGGGAGCCCAGAACTTGGGTGAGAATGTTCCCTGTCCTCCATCCCAGAAGACCACCGTGGCAAAGAACCGCCACTCTGCTTGTCAAAAAGGGCAGTCCCAGGCTGCAGTTTGGGGCTCAACAAACCTAAACGGAATCCCGAAAAGTTAAGATTCCCCAGCAGCCAGGATCCTATAGGGGTTGGAGTGAACAAAAGGTATGAGGTGGGGTGGGCGTCCCTTTGCAGCCTCCAGCCCCGCAAGCTGCCCAGAACCGCAGTGGACACCTCCTTGCCTGGCCATCCTCCCTCAGCGCTTGGGAAAACAATGACTTTGAATGCATTTGTTTTTCTTTTCACAGCCATGGCCAAGGTCTCTTTCATGCTCTTCTTTTTTTCTCTACTGCCTCTTATTTTTCCTTCCCCGCGCCCCCTGGGTCTCCCTTCTTGCACCTCTCCACGTGGTAATCACTGTTATTATCTCCATCAATTCCAGCTGTTGGTTTTCTTGACTTCCCTCCTCCATCTCTCTGACAAAATTATCATTCTTTCTTTCTGTCTGTGCTGTTTTTCTGCCCTCACCCCGTGGCTTCTTTCTTGATGCCAGTGTGCTTCTTGTTTATTTCTCAATTTCACTTTACTCTCCATCCTGCTGTTTCTGTTCTCTGTGTTTTTCCTCCCTGTCATCCAGCCGCTTTCTCTGCCTTACCATTTCCCGATTTTCCCCTTTCACTTGCTCGCCCGCCCGGCTCACACTTCTCCCAGCCCCACAGTTGTCACATTCATGCTGTCCCCCGAGGTAGTGTCTGGCCCATGGGGACAGATCAGTCTGCTTCGTGTTTTGGCCTGATAGAAGCAGGCAAAGGCTTAGAGCCACGTTTTGTGCCCTTCTCTGAGTTATCATTTCTTATTAAAATCGAAATAAGTAGGAGATGGGCCAGAGGCCAAATACATTTATCTGTAGAAAGATGAAAATGTGAGGAAATCAAATTATTAGTATCATAATGGTGAGGCAGAGATAATGAAGACAATGAGATGAGGGATAAGGAGCCCTCCAGAATTTATCTTGAATGGATTAGCTAGATTTTTTTTTCATTCAGAGAGAAACTGCAATCAGTAGTTAAAATTGATCTAAGGCAAATGATAGAAGATTCAACTGTACGTTGTGGCTGCCTTCTTTCCAGGCATTCAAGGCCTGCCATGTTCCTCCCATCCAAGGCCAAGAGTAAGATTCCCATTTATTCACACAGGCAGATTGTTAGGTGCCTTATTGTTGGTGAGTGTTGATCTCTCCTGGGCTTCGGTCAATTGGATGATGTTGGTGGTGCTAATGGTTTGGCTGGCTGATACTGTTCCTTTCTAGTTTGGTTCTTCAGGGCCATAAAGCTCACAAGAAACTGAGCTGAGTGAAGGGACAGGCAACACAGCACAGCTAGCCGGCTGTCTTCAGTGGCAGGAGGAAGTCAGGGCTCCAAAAATCGCGTCTGTCTTGACATTGACAACTAAGCTGCTACCCATGAACATGATTCAAAGAGGGCCAATGGGGCATCCATTCACGTTAACCCGAAGTATACTCTGTCCCCTAGGAATAGCTAGTGCTTGCTTGTGATTATTTTTAAAGCAGTTAACAAATTCTGCTGACAGTGTAAAGGTGAAAAGATTGAAACCAGGTGAATGGGAAGTCAAGCTCCCCAATATGCACACCAACCTTGGCTCAAAGGCTCAACTACTCTTTTTTAAAAATAAAAAGGAAGTTGGAGTCTCATTGGTTATTATATAGGCATGGTTATTTCCAAATTCTGTAGCCAAACAGCATCTGGTGCCTGTCTTGAGGAGCTAGTCATTTATTAAGAGGGCACCCTTGCCTTCTCATATCCATTTCTAAAATTTAAAAAAAAGGCATGAAACTGACTCCATGTAAGAGATGCTTGTCTGTAAATGCTACAGTCTACCCCCCCCCAAAAAAAAAACCTGCCATTGGATTTTGTCTCAAATAGAAAAGATTTTGTTTACACTTTTCTTCAAGTTATTTTGTGAAAAATCTAATACTCTGGTGAAATATGTGACATGGAAAAGGATTTGTTACTTAGGAACTTTTGAATTATTCATTTTGCTTGCAGAAAAATAAAATGTGAAATATAAGTATATCATTTTTATTTTATTAGATTTAGTATATTCTAATAGAGTTGCTAAGAAAGGTTGCTTTTTAAGTTTTATTCAGATTATAGTAAAAAGGTGATAGGTACTACCTATACCAAACTGTAATAGTTATGAAATCAACTGGAGGCATCTACATCATGGAGACTAATTTCCAAATTTGAGGAAAACTTTGATTTCTAGTGGTTATATTAAAATGCCACTGGGGGACAGCCTTGTGGCACAGTGGATTAAGCCTACATTTACAACACTGCCACTATCCCCTAACAGAGTGTGGTGTGTTCCCTGCTGCTCTGCTTCCAATCCAACTCCCTGCTAATGTGCCTGGGAACACAGTGGAAGACCTCTGAATTACCTTGGCCCCTGCCATCCATGTAGGAGACACAAATGGAGTTCTAGTCTCCTGTCTTCCACCTGGCCCAGCCCTAGCCAGCAGATGAAAGGTATCTTCTCTTTCTGTGTCTCTCTTTCTTCTCTCTGACTTTCTCTGCCTGCTTCTCTCCCTCCCTTCCTCTCTTTCTCTCCCTCTGCCACTCTGACTTTAAATAATAACTAAATCTTTTTAAAAAGATTTTTATTTATTCGAGAGGTAGAGTTACAGGCAGAGAGAGAGAGTGACGGAGAGAAAGGTTTTCCCTCTGCTGGATCATTCCCTAAATGGGCATAGCAGCTGGGGCTGAGCCGATTTGAAGTCAGGAGCTGCTTCTGGGTCTCTCATGCAGATGTGTGGGCCCATACACTTGGGCCATCTTCCACTGCTTTCTCAGGACATTAGCAGAGAGCTGGATCAGAAGAGGAGCAGCCAGCACATCAACCCATTTGGGATGCTGGTACCACAGGCAGAGGCTTAGCCTACTGCTCCATGACACTGGCCTCAATGCATCTTTTAAAAGTTAAAATGCCACTGGAAGTGTTAATTATCTAGAAATGATTTAAACTGATGTGAGAATAGTGTTAACGACATGATTAAACATGTCCAGTTATAAAAACAAGAGATAGATGTTTAACAAGAAAATCTTGTAATCATAACAGTTGGGGTTTGCTTCATTTCTCTTATCTCCAAATCAGCAATAATACTGAGTATGATACTTATTTCCCAAGATTGTTGTGAGTGTGAAATAAGAGTTTACTGGTTAGGAAACTGAGGAAAAATAGAAAATATGCTGTAAGAATTTGAAATGTAATAGTTACAGCAGTGTTCCATAAATTCATATGTAATAGTAGCTAAATCCATAAGCTACATAAGGATACTTCTTTATCAAGCAAATTTATGTGACTTTCTTTCTTAAAAAATGACAGAATTAAATATCAGTTCATCATAAATATTCATGAAAACCTCCTATGGGGCGTAGAAAACCTAGCACTAGTGCCAACAGACTCCATCACACAGGCTGGTGTGGGAGAGGGTCTGAACAGTTTCCTGTAAGCGACAACACAGAGGGACCCAGAAAGATGGTAATTGTTTCTGTTTTTACACTAGTATGTTTTCCCCCAGATTACTGCATTCTGGATAAGAGAGAATAAACCCTAGTTTAGGACACACTTCTGTGTAGCATGTGGACTCTTTGGAACCATTCCATTAATCAGTGCTCCCACGTACAGAGGGAGAAGAACAAACTTGCAATTCATCCCTGAAAGCAAGAGAAATCCCAAATGAAATTAGTTACAATTCCATCCTGGTGAGGTAGAAGTGAGGTTGGAAGGTTGTAAAAGAGGGAAGTGACTCCATTGCCTTTTCTTCCTCGCTCCCTCCAGGCATGCACACCCATTATACCCTGAACAAAAAGCACAGGGTCCAGATGGTCAAAGACTTGGTGAAAATGAGTAATAGTTTCTCCTTTAAAATGTATTTAATCCTAAGTCCCTGTATATGTCATCTCTGAGAATGGGGATGGACAGAGGACTGTCAAAGCAGAAAGAATTTTCCAGATGCAATGGTTCTGTGACTGAGTTCTATTGACAACCATATATTTCTTATCTCACCTAATTACACATGCATGGTTGATTATGTGAGGGAGATTGTCCAGTTGGGAGAACAAAAATTAGCCTCATCATTGTCTGCCATCATAGGCTTGCCTTGCCTGGGTTTCCTGCAGGGCTCCTCCTTGGACAAATTGAGAAGAAAATATGCTCATCTGTGCTGATTACTTTTCTTCTACCCACCCTTCAGTGTCTGTTCCCCCACATTCTATCTCAGGGCAATGAGTGAGCTGGAAAAAACACCTGGTGGATGTCACAACACGACTCACCTACTAGGTCTCCCCTTTTGGACAAGATTCCATGTTCTGAATGATTCCTGACTCCGTCCTAAATCTCAGATTCCCAGGAGTCTGCCAAGTAACTAACTGATCTCATCCTTGAATATTAACCTGCTCCATGGTGTGACACAGTTAGCAAATATTAGTTCAGTGAATGGTGATTGTCTCAGTTTTTTGTTTCCAAGAAAACATTTACACTTTAATGTCTGCCATTATATGTTTATGGTGAGGATTTTCAGTCAAGATTATCAAAGAATAGCTTTTTATTTTTTCTTTTTAGTTATGACATGTCGTGTTCTCATTTTCATTACATATTAGAGAGACAGACAGAGCTCCCATCTATTGGTTCACCCCCAAAATGGCTGCAGCAGCCTTGGCTGGGCAAGGTTGAGGCCAGGAGCTGGGAAGTAACTTCAGTCTGCCAGGTTGGTAGCAGGGCCCCAAGTACGGGAGCCATCACTTGTTGCTTCCCAGGGTGCACATTAACAGGAACCTGGAATCACAAGTAGGGTCAGGACTGGAACCAACGCTCTCTCAGATAGAATCTAGGTGTCCCAACTAGCATCACAACCATCCCATCCTTTGATCTATTTAAAGTGTTGTTAAATATTCTCTTGAGGGAAATAAAACCTTTAATAATCTTTAAATTACAATAAAACCTCAGGATTATCTGTATTTAAACTTAAAGCCTGACCATGATATTCAAATTTATTTACTATTCATCTAGTGATGGCAACCATAAGATTAGCTGACCCAGTTTACTGTGGTAACATAGCATAATAAACTCAACTCTCATCTGCAGTGCATTTCTTATTAGTCTGTGGGCTTAGAGGCAAAATTTGCAGTAGAGACAGTTCTGTTCACATTTAATTATAATAACTGTCTCATTAACACAAGCTGCTGTCTCAATTTAATCTTTAAAATGCTGACTGCTACTTAAGATTGTCCTTTATGAAATGAAATGGCATAAATCCTGAGCCCAGCTCTCTAGTGGGTGGGTATCCCTAATCTTGTCACTTTGAACTCATGAGGGCATACTAGAACTTGAAATAAAATCTTAGAGTGTGTCAAAGGTAAGAAATAGGATGCATTTTGTGTTTCCTTGACTCTCAGTTGGACTCCCTCGTTTTAGAATAGAGAAAGAAGCTGGCTGTGGTGGGGAACTGGATCCTCAATATAACCACTAGCAATTATTCCTGTAGAGTAAAGATTATTTGGGTCTCATTCTGCTTTAAGCATAGTACTTACTATTGAATGCAGCATTCCTATAAAAGAATCAATTTAATAAAAAGAAGAACCAATTTCTTATGTATACTAGTCACGGCAATACCCATCTGATGCTAGAAAAGTTCAGTAATGTTAATATTTTATAAGAAAACAGAAAGGCCCAGCGCTGTGGCTCACTAGACTAATCTTTTGCCTGCTGCGCCGGTACCCCAGGTTCTAGTCCCATTTGGGGCTCCGGGTTCTGTCCAGGTTGCTCCTTTTCCAGTCCAGCTCTCTGCTGTGGCCCGGGAAGGCAGTGGAAAATGGCCCAAGTGCTTGGGCCCTGCACCCGCATGGGAGACCAGGAGGAAGCACCTGGCTCCTGGCTTCGGATTGGTGCAGCACGCCAGCTGTAGCAACCATTTTGGGGGTGAACCAATGGAAAGAAGACCTTTCTCACTTTCTTTCTCTCTCTTACTGTCTAACTCTGCCTGTCCAAAAAAATAAAAAAAAAAAAGAAAACATAAAGCAGTAATGACTTTTTTAAAAGATGTATTTATTTGAAAGGCAGAGTTACCAAGAGGCAGAGGCAGAGAGAGACAGAGAGATCTTCCAACCACTGATTCACTCCCTAAATGGCCACAATGGTCTGAGTTGGGCCAGTCTGAAGCCAGGAGCCAGGAGCCAGGAGCTTCCTCCAGGTCTCCCATGTGGGTACAGAGGCCCAAGGACTTGGACCATCTTCCACTGCTTTCCCAGGCCATAGCAGAGAGCTGGGTTGGAAGTGGAGCAGCCAGGACCCGAACCAGCGCCCATATGGGATGCTGCCCCTGCAGGAGGTGGCTTTACCAACCAGAACACAGCACCAGCACCAGCAGTAATGATTTGATTGAGCTATGCCTTATTTCCCTGAAATCAATAGAATGAAAGAGTAATGTTTCTTGTAGTAGAAAGCAGTGAAACAGACAACCTGGGATTTATAAGCACTGCCCATGTTTCAAGCTTGCCACTAAGAAGTGCTGATTTAAATAGAAGAATAGCTGTGGTTATTTAACTATAATTACAAGTTACTCAGATGAAAATGATTCCCAGGAGCCCCTTGCAAGTGATTAAAGTTTGTTGTGATATAGCAGAGGGACATTTTCTTTGGCACTGTATGTAACTTTTTAATTATTATAGTATCCGGATTTTTTTTTCAGTATACATGTCAGTTAGGGTTAATTTGATTGCAGCTAATAGAAAATAATCCAGACCATTTTGTATTAAAAATAATATTTTATTGGCCACTGCAATGAAAAGCAGAGATATCCTCATCAGGATAACTAGATTAGGGACTTGGGGATGCCCCAAGTGTCAAGTTTCTCTGGGTCTCTCCACACTGCTTTCTTAGGTATTGCTGCTGCTTAAGTTATATATTCTGTTATTTCCAGGGCTGCCTTAGCAAGCTGATGCCATAAACAGGGTACCTTAAACAACAACATTTCCTCTCTTACAGTTTGGGGCCAGATGGGTGAAATGAAGGCATTGGTAGGACCGTGTTCCCTCTGAGGCTCTAGAGGTGAAGCTGTCCCATGCCTCTGTCCTTACTAATCATGGTGGCTCTCAGTCCCTGGGATTCCTTGGTTTGTGGCTGCATTACTCCTGTGTGTTTCTGTCAACATACAACCTCTTTCCTCTGTTTCTGCATCTCTGTATTTCTCTTTCCTGATGGGATAAACAGTCATTGGATTTAGGAATCACCCTATTTAATTCTAACTTAATTGAATCTTAGTTTGACCATATCAGCAAAGGTCCTATTTCTAAATAAGATCACATTCACAAGTTCTGAGGGTTAGGACTTCAATAACTCAACCTACAAATATACACTCACAAAATGGCTGCTAACATTTCCTTGCCTAGACCTTTTTACGTTCAAACCCAGCAGAGAGAAAGTATGGCTCTCTCTTAACAAACAAAATCATACTCCATTATTCAGTGGTCCTACTGTGTTCATCCTTGAGCAGTTGCTGTAGCCAGAGGGATGTGACACCTGGCTTATCCAATGGAGCAAGAATGGAGGAAAGATTAGTTTCTCAGAAAGCCAAAAATCATTACTGAAAAGTAACAGATATCAGGCGGTTGAACATTTCCTATACATCAAAGACAATTTAAAATAGGTCCAATAATATAGTGATACAAGTAAAGTAAACTGAAGTGCAGACATGTGAGCTTCTGTTTATCTGTGACTTACTCTTATTTTATTCTCAGTTTTATTGAGGTATTGCTGACTTACATTAACACGTACACATTTAAATTTAAATTTGATGATTTTCACATATGTAAAACCATGATCACAATCAAGATAATAACTGTCACCCCCAAAATGTTTCCTCACATCTTTCTAACCCTCCTTCTCTGCCCTGCTAATTGCTAGGCAGCCCTTGCTGCTTTCTGTAACCATAGATTATCTTGCATGTTTTGTGATTTTATGTAAGTGAACTTATGCATTAGATATTGTTTGGTGTGTAGGTTTTCTAATCACTCTAATTATTTAAATTCCATCTTAGTTATTAAATATATATATATATATATATCAATAGCTAATTCTTTTTCCCAGCAGTATTCCATTATAAGGATGTACCAAAGTTTATGTATGTGTTCACCTTTTGATGAACATTGAGTTGTTTGGGGAGCTTGTTTTTAGTAAAGATCTCAATTGAGAAAATTATACTTAAAATTGGAATGTCTTTTGTTTAATAATGGTGAACTATGTGTGAATATAATGTTCATAACAATACTTATCAAAAATGGTGATACAAATTTTTACTTTTTCCCTTCTAGATACTGAGGAGAGCAGACAAAAATGGTAAGTTCAAAAATCTGGAGTTTCTGTTTATTAATTTCTTATATTCTGTACCACCTTATGAAGAATAACAAAGAAGGTGAAAACCCTAGAAATTGACATAAAAATGTCAGTTTCTTGTACCAGTCACAGTTTTAGGCAAGTTTAGCTTCCAGATACTCATAAGGAGTTGGCAGAGGAATTTTTACTTGACAGGAAGATGAAATTTATCACTTTGAAGAGAGGAGCCCTGTCATACTTGAACCCTGACTTTCACCTTTTGCACCTTAAAAATTATTTTACAGCAATACCAGCTTGTATTCACTGAAGGCCATTGTGGGTCCACTGTGTGCCAGGCATTGCTTGGTAGTATTCCACTCTATGGATATACATTATGTGTTAAGTCTTAGAATTTCTAATATATAATGCAGGAGTTTGAACCAAGTTCTGTTTGCTGTCAAAGTCAGGGCTGCCCACATTGAACTTCATAGTGGCTTTGGTGATGCCACTTCACTCTGCATTGCTAGCCTATCTCTGTTCTCTAGTCCCTGGTCTATACTTCACTCTCACATTTGCAGTACATGTACTGGGTGGTAGATTATAGAAAACTAGAAGTAAAAGAATTTCTCCCCTCAGTGTAATTGACTGAATAAAGTCCAATTAAAAGCTATCACAAACAATACCTTTCACTCTTTTTTTCTACTAGAAATTTTGTTCCATAGAATACCAAAAAGCAGAGCTTATTAGGTTTATTCCCTTGCTATAATATAAATACTATGGTAGAGATGTATTCTTGACAAATTTCAGATACAAAGAGTTCTTTCCTTTTCTTGAAAATCCATTTCTTATCTATAGGGAGACATTAAATCAGAATCGAGATATGATGGTTTAATACATATGTTGTTGTCAAGAAGGGTTTGAGTGACATTACACAATTTCTACACAACAGAAAATATATTAATCCAAGGGGCTATGAAATCGTGCCTTAAATCCTGATGTTATTTAACTGTGCCTAGCCATCAGAATTTCTTTTTAATTATGTTGCAGTGAATGACATATTATCAATTCAAAGATACTTTTTTTTTCACTTGAATCATCTGATTACTTTCTAAGACAGAATTAATGAAACTATCATTGTTTTCTCATCCCATCCTTCAGCCTGTTGTCTGATATCCAGCTCCAGTGATTACTGGCTTACAACTGAGTAACCTATCTGCTTTTGTGCTACCTGCTTTGTGTTTTAGCAGCTGTCTCCAGCTCTGAAATGCCCATCCCTGTATCCATCCAATTTCCTGGTTCTCTCAGGCTATTTCCTCAGACCCCATGGCTCTGATTAAGGACCATCATTGCTTATCTATCACCCTTCTTTTCCAAACACAATTAACATTATCAATAGTTATAACATTAAAATTATCATAATGTGTAGTCTTAATAAAAGGCAGCTAAAAATTCAATTCGCATGATGTAATGGCTTATGGTAGGTAATCTCAGATGCCATGTTACGGAGAATAGTCACTTGTCCTAGAGCCCTGTGTCCCATATTTCCTCACCTGACTCCTTCCTCTATGATACCTCTCCTCTTCTTGCACCCTTTACTAATGCTGATCCTAACATGGTGTCAAAACTCCCTGCCCAAGCACTTAGCATTTCTTTATGGTGCAAGGATTCAAAATCCTTTCTTCTAGACATATTTATATATAAAGTTTATATATATGTGTATATATAAAGTTTATACATAGGTATACACATACAGTATGTTATCATATCTGTAGTCACCCTGCTGTGAAATAAAACACCAGAACTTCTTTCTCCTAAGTGTCTATTAAGCAACCTTTACCCAACCCTCTCTTCTACTAAAGTATGCATTTGTTGAAACATTACACAGTACTCCTAAATATGTACAATTTTAATATATCAGTTAAAATTAAAAAACAAACATAAATAAAAACCCAAGTGCCCATCTGCTCTTATTTTCCTCAGTGTTTTCTGTGCTGCCTCCTCTGCAGCCCTCAGAAGTGCTCAGTTCCCGGAACGTCCCTTTTGTTGGCTACGCCAATGCCATATTGCTTTGCTTTGGCTTCTCTTTGCTGTACCTTTGCATGCCTGCGCAGCTTGAGACGAGACCTCTCACATATTGATTACATTCTTGCTCAAGAGGCTTCTGATTTGGGAAGCCTTCTTCAGTGCCCCTGACAGGGTCCCACCCTGTCTGTGTGCTCTCAACAGTTGGGCACATTGACTATTGTCTTTATGGCCAAAGTCAATAAGCCGAACATGCTTCAGGAAGGCAAGGAACTTGTCTTAAAGGTAGACACCTGGCTTAGTCCATCCTAGGTAATCATTAGACATTTATTTCATGCATGAATAATGAGTGAGGCTGTTCTACTCCATCATTCAACTCACTTCTGTTTATTACTGTGCCCTTTATCTTTCATCTCACCCTACTCTGCTCCTTCATGTTCACTGTATTCAGAAAGGTCTGGGTTTAAATCATCACTAAACTACCTACTAACCGTACAAAGAGCATAGATAATACTACTCATGTGTATCATGGTGTTATAATAAATGAGATAACATTTGTAAGATCTTCAGGGTTGTGTCTGGAACATACTAAGAACCTAATACTTGCTTATTTGGATGCTGTTATTATAATTAATATTATCACTACCAAAAGCTACTGTTTTTGTGCTGTGATTTCTTGGCTATCTGAGGCACTTGGTAATATTTCAATTGTTTCTATTGCAGTGGAGTTTAGTGGAGAAGAAACATAAGGCTATTTACCATATACGTGAAATTGTAGAAGGGAAAGGAGAGTGAATAATCTAATGTAAATGAGAAGTTAGCATAAGAAATTAACCATCTTTCTGTACCATGTGTTCATCACATTCTGTATTTGCAAATAAACAGCTGCTGCATGTATTTGATCTCTGAGTAGCAGACCATCATGTGATAGAATCTCTTGTGGGCAGCTTAATTGGGGATGGAACAATGAAAAGTGAAAGAGACAATGTGCAGTAAGGGCAGATACTACTTTTGGACTCTATGACACAGAAGAAAATTTGCTGGAAAATGGGGAAAATAACGATTGGTGATTCATGATAATAATGCTGTCTAGCAGAGATTTTTTTTTTTGGTTGTTGATTTTAAATCATACGCTGAGATCCAAGACATGAAGATAACCCTGAAAATAGGAGTGCTTAGGATGCTAGTTCTTTGATTTGAAGAGCCCAGAATTAAGCCTAAAAATGCAAAACTACTGAGAAAGCTTACCTTGACAATAGTTGAATGGAATGAAAATGACACATGGATTTTTTTTTTGCTTTGAAAATTTTTTTTTAATTTACACTTTTTATTTTAAAGTATTTGCTTAAAGAAAGATTGAATATATCCATGGTATATAACATGATTAGATATGTGTATGTTATATAATGACACCCTCAACTAAATTAGTTAACATATTCATCACCGCCAGTACTGCACATCGTATCCTCTGAACTTGTTTATCTTCTAACTGAAGTTAGAAGTTTGTTGCCCTTGGCCAGCATCTTCCATTCCTCACTCCCCACCCCCTTCCCCAACACTGGCAATCACTGCTTTACTCTCTGCTGTTCATAGATTGACTTTTGAGTTCCCATATGCAAGTGAAATTACGAAGTATTTGTCTTTTTGTGTCTGGGGCAAAAATTTTTTTAAGCTTTGGTAAAAGGCAAAATGGAAAGCTTATAGTAGTGAATAACACCATAGGATCAAGAGACTCTTGTTGATTTGTGTTTGCGAACATACACTACTATTCTTTCCTGTTTTATAAATTTTTATGCAATTATTTTATTTATTTGAAAGGAGGGGTGGAGATGGGGAGGAGATATTGATTCAGAGACAGATCTTCTATCCACGTTTATTCCCTGAATGTTTACAATGGCTGGGACTGGGTCAAACCAAAGCCAGGATCCAGGAACTCACTTCAGTTCTCCCATATGGGTGTCAGGAACCTGAGTACTTCAGCCATTATCTGTTGCCTCCCAGTGTACATTAACAGGAAACTGGAATAGAAATGGAGCTGGGACACAAACCCAGGCACATTGATATGGGATGTGGGTGTTCCAAGCTGCAGCTCCATTGCTGTGCTCAATACCTGCCCCAGTTTCCATTCTTTATCAGCAGATGGTCTGTGTGGGTGGAGCTTTTTTTTGTTATTTTTTTAAACTTTTATTTAATGAATATAAATTTCTGAAGTACAGCTTATGCATTACAATGGCTTTTTCCCCCCATAACTTCCCTCCCACCCACAACCCTCCCCTCTCCCGCTCCCTCTACCCTTCCATTCACAAGATTCATTTTCAATTCTCTTTATATACAGAAGATCAGCTTAGCATACATTAAGTAAAGATTTCAACAGTTTGCACCCACACAGAAACACAAAGTGTAAAATACTGTTTGAGTACTAGTTTTAGCATTAATTCACAACGTACAGCACATTTAGGACAGAGATCCTACATGGTGAGTAAGTGCACAGTGACTCCTGTTGTTGACTTAACAAATTGACACTCTTGTTTATGGCATCAGTAATCACCCTAGGCTCTAGTCATGAGTAGCCAAGGCTATGGAGGCCTTTTGAGTTCGCTGGCTCCGATCTTATATAGACAAGGTCATAGTCAAAGTGGAAGTTCTCTCCTCCCTTCAGAGAAAGGTACCTCCTTCTTTGATGACCTGTTCTTTCCACTGGGATCTCACTCACAGAGATCTTTCATATAGGTTTTAGCGTGGTGTTTTTTTTTTTTTTTTTTTTTTTTTTTTTTTTTCCAGAGTGTCTTGGCTTTCCATGCCTGAAATATCTCATGGGCTCTTCAGCCGGATCTGGATGCCTTAAGGGCTGATTCTGAGGCCAGAGTGCTGTTTAGGACATCTGCCATTCTATGAGTCTGCTGTGTATCCCACTTCCCATGTTGGATCATTCTCTCCCTTTTTTATTCTATCAGTTAGTATTTGCAGACACTAGTCTTGTGGGTGGAGCTTTTGATGCCGTC